GACTTGAGAACCCTTAAAATGATTATTGTTCCAGAACCATGTAAATGTGCGGTGTGAATTCATAGTGCACTAAGTGATATAAGAGAGAYGAGGATTAGATCTTGTTTAGAACTTAAATTTTAAATCTCTACCATTGTGATAGAGAGTTGAATTTTGAGCTTGTTGTTGTTTCTTAGCACCCAAAAGATTTTTCTGTGGTAAATTGATTTTTAGGGGAAGACATCTGAAGATTTGATCAGAACCTTTTTTTAATATGAGCCTCCAGTCATAAATTATTGGCAAATAAGCATAAATGATGATATCATTCCCATTGTAACCAGCTGCTTTTTATGCTCTCACTATTTAAAAATTGGAATACTATTCCAGAACCAAACGGTCCTAAACCTGCAATCACAGTAGGTTCACATTTTGCTCTTTGCTTACTAATGTGTGATACATTAAATATCTGTTCCTGGGATCTAGCCACAAAATGACCTTTTCAGGGCTCATCCTTTTTTCTCATTTTTGATTTGTTCAAGAGAAATTACAAACGACTGGTATTTGGTTTCCAAAAGGGATACATAAAAACTTGACCTTTTGGTACTGTTATTTTTTGGGATGTGTACACTGTATTTTAAGTATGTCTTAGCTGTTGTTTGCTGGCCTATGTCTAGTTTAAATAACCCTTCATTTCATTCGGTGTAAAGATAGGACCAGAAGTACAATTCCTCTCTTTTCTTTCTTTTCTTTTTTTTTTTTTTYCCCATGACAAACCTTTACCCCTGAGATAATACTTTTTCTTCAGGCAATTTTAAAAGAATATGGTGTGGAATAGGCTCTGATATCTTAGGAGCTTTCCTTGTAGCCTGTTACATAGTTCAAACAGCATGTCCTATCACCTGCATTGCTGTCATAGMTAAGTGTCTGTTCAAGGAATCCTTGCTGTGGGTGCACTTGTGATTTAATAAAGTGGGAAGTGAGTCAGAGGAGAGTGGCCAGGGTTGTTGAGGAAGTTTGTGAGAAAGGGCAATCAAATATGGACCACCAGACTGCTTTCCTAGGCATAGTTGTTCCTGCTGTTTGGTTTCCAAAGCTGGAGTCAATATATTTCCTGTGAAAAAATGAATGGCAGGCTTTACACTTTTCCAGAGAAATCAGCTGATATGGAATGTAGGTAAGTGCAGTAAGCTATTCAACAAGTAAATAAGAAATTTCTCTCCTTTCTAGCTATATAAATAGCTAATTTAATTTGAAGAGATTTCCAGCATCCATCATTACACTGAGAAATGTTAGAGAGAAGGCAGTCTTTGTCTTGTAGACATTTGAGCATATGATCAGAAGTTAGTCAATGCATCTCTCTYCGATGGTTCCAAGTTTTCCTTGTTGCAAAACTCAGATATAGTTCATGGCATTGCTAATGCTTTAGTCATAGCCTTTTAGTCATTTGGAACAGTAGTTCACAGTACAGAAATAGGTGATGAGGAGACAAGCTTGCAATAGTTAGAGATGGGTGATGAATAAACAGAAGAGGAGGTTGAGATTAGGTATTTGGAAAACTGTGTCACTAGGAGAGTAGTGCAAAACTGGAACACATTGCTGAGAAAGGTTGTAGAATCACCGTTCTTGAAAGCATTCTTGAAAGCTTAGAAAACTCATATAGACAAAGCCGTAAGTCCTGCTCTAGTGTTAACAGTAATTTTCTTGAGGGGGGAAAAAGACAAACAAACCAAAAGAAAAATCTATAACATGAAAGAATAAGCCTATACAGAAGACTGTTCTCCTTCCAGTTGCCATATCCTTCCTTGCATCTGAAGCAAGGTACTTAGATGCCTGCCTCCCAGAAGGAAAACTTTCTTAGTCTCTCTGCCAAAAATATTCTTAACACCTTACAAGTCCTGTCCTTGCTTGTCCTTCTTCTGGGTGTCAGTCTGTCCCATGCATTTTGCATACACATGTTTATGGGTGCACTTTGTGGCACACCTTTACCAAACACCTTATCATGAATAAGCTCAATTGTAGGTGCAGACCTGCAGTAAAAAGAGCTTCAAATTGATTTCCCTACTCATCTTATCCCAACACTAAAATGAACATATCTTTTTCAGCTATCCTAATCTATCAGTCTGTGAAGAATATCTTTTACTGTCCAACAAAGACAAAGTACACCTGTCATAGCTCCTAAAATCTCATGTGCTGCATTAGGGTTTTTTAAGTCAAGGCTTTCCTAAGAGGGTTGTATGAAAAGATAAAGAAAGAATCATAGATAAAACAGTGCTAGTCGGAGGAGCAGTGTCACATTCCTCAGGAGAGATCAACTCTTAGAATAAAAAGTGTCATTATAAATAGAAAAGAGAAAAAAAATACACTTCCTGAAATATAAAAGGTTTAAAAAATGTCAGTCTGTACCTATCAAAATGTCGAGTTTGCTGATGTAAAAGCATTTGTGTTTTGTTTGGGGTTTTTTTTTTGTCTAATGTGTTCTATTATACCTGAATATGAGCTCAACATTAAAATACTTTGAGTCTAATTCTAAACATTGTTGACCAAAATAAAAGATCCAAATGAAATATTTCTCCTTAAGAACTTGGCAACAAACACAGTTTCTCACAGAAAATTTTAAAGAGAGTTTTCCTAATTTTTAGTCTGTTGGCTGAATTGCAGGAATATGTATGGGCTGTAATTGTAGCCCATACATTACCTGTATGGGCTACGTGGAAACAGCATGTGGTTGGAGCAGAGTGTCGGACCTCAGTGCCACTTGAGATGTGATAATCTAACTCACAGAGACTTTCTGTAATTCCAGTTTTGCTTTTGTTCCAGTTTTGATACAGTTGCAAATAATGGGAGCTAATGACTTTTTCCATGCACAAAACTGATTTTAAGCATTTTAGTTTTACTGTTTTTCTCCTCATTCCCCCTTATTTCTCCTGTTCTGCACCTTACAGGGAGCTTTAAAAGGCTGAACAGAAAGCAGAAGTATTTTGAATAGAGCACTTTTCTTTGATGTGCAAGTGCTTAACTGCCAAATTCAGCAGCACTTCGTGTGCAGCTGAACATTTTAAAATTTCATTCTTGTTTAAAGAGCTAATTAAGAATCTTTTTAGTACTTTTCGCAAATGATAGAGTATCCAAATTACGGACACTACCTTGTGAATGAAAAAGTTTTGCCGAGTGCATGGCCAGGAGGGCCAGCAGCAGAGATGGAGAAAAATGCTAGTCTTCAAAAAGCACAGGCTATATAAAATACATATTCCTATATAATCTGTATTAAGTATTTTAAATAATCATTTGTACATTTGGAGTGTAGATTATTCTGATCATTTAAGTGTTTCCCTCAAGAATTCTGCCTTAAAAAAAATGTTTTCCTATAAAAAGTAAGCATTTACCAATATCTCTGTCTGTAGACTTATGATACTTTAATGATACTCTAATGAGTTCCATATGGCATGACTAATCTGATAACCGTGTTCCTTTTGTTTTTGCTATGTTGGGGTGTAAAAGAGCTAGATATATTAGTTCTAGCATCCAGTGACTCAGTAGTTTTATGCTTTCAATGTTTGCAATCCCTATTAAATTTTTGGTAAGACTGGTGGATCATGACAGTTATTTCTGTCTGTAAAAATCTATGAATATATTACTTTGATGCATGGTAAATGAGTATATGTAAACAAACAGATTTCTTTAACAAATGAAGGGTTAAAATCTTCATTTTAAACCACCTAAATGTTCAGATTTTCAAAYTGAGCTTTTATTTATTCTGAATGTAGACTAAGCAGTCTCACCCATGGACCTATCAATTATTCACTTGATCTGATATAGTGGGATCCCATTTGTGCAGGTGCTTACTGACAAATACATTGAATGTTTATTAAAAGGGCACACAGGAGGGAAAGGAGTTTGGTGACTACTACACTCATTTGATTTTAGTGGTACTGCTGCTATTTTAGATTTCTAAAGGCAATCTTAAAATGCAAATAAAGCAAGCACAAGAATTTTACAAAATAAGCTTGCTGTGTTGTTACAGACTTCATAATAAGCTGCAAGCAAATATTTGCTTGTATACCTTCTGTTATTTCAAAGAGTTTCAGTGCATCAGTGCATCATTCAAAGACTACGATTTCAAGCATTCCAAAGAAATAATAGGGAATAAAACCCCAAGAAAATGAAATTTAGATTGATCTTTTCTAATAAAATATTTTTGCAAGTGTTTTTGGCTTTTCAAGATGCTTTGACATCCTGTTCAGTTGAAGGAGCACATGACTTTAATTGCACGACTCATTCACTTTAAATATTTAATAATCCTTTTATTAGTTGCACTGAACCAGTGAAGTAAGATCTGTAATATCTAGTGCTGGTCATCATTTTTATTCATCATGGTTTAATAAGAATTATAATTACAGATTGGGGAAGAAATATGAGTTAGGTTTGTGGTTTTGCTTGGGACTTCTGTGCACATTGGTGCGATTGGAAGGGATTATACAAGCTCTGTGAGCACAACTGAGCACATTTGAATACACTGATGCAGGCTCCTAGTACTGACACATTATTCTTCATATTTAAGTAACTGCAGAAAAACTGCTGCATAAAATTATGAGTCCCGACACTATTAACTCCATCTGGCTTAATACAAAAGTCTGGAAATTTGAAGACCAAGTGGACTTGTTCTTGGCAGGTGTTTTAATGTATGTTTTATCAATGGAATTAGACTTAAGCTAAATTTCCTGCCGTTTTCCCATATCTGTTTCAAACTCACAGGAGTGTGTCAGTTATTCTGAGTGCATAGTTAGTTAGAGGAGCCTTCATTTGGTGATTTTGTCAGAGTTCTGGCTGCAAGACCGTTCGTAAACAACACAAGCCCTCCGGCTTGAGTCATCAAGTAAACGTGGATGTGCTAATTTATAATTTTAATATTATAAATATGTTATTTTTGCATGTGATTTGCATTCTTATGGTAGAATAGCCTAATATCTGTGCATTTTAAATGTTTTTTTTTTGTTAAAAAACCCTCATTTTTTCCCCATCAGCAACTTATGCGGGAGCGACAGCAGATGGCCAGCCGCCCCTTTGCTTCTGTCGATGTAGCACTGGAAGTAGGAGCTGAGCAAACAGACTTTCTCCGAGGGCCATTAGAGGTAGGAACAGTGGTGCTGACAAGGGACTGTGGTGCTTTGCATATTTGTGTTGCTCGTCGCATCTGCATCTGCTTCGGGCTGATTACCTGGAGCTGACAAGTCGCGGCTACATGTGTTAWGCCATTTTCAAGGTGCACAGTTTTAATGCTATGACACGAGCTGTAACAAAAGCCACTGGAGAATCTATTAGCCTCGGCTGCAGTGACAGCCAGCTCACCTGGCAGTGCCTTCTGGATGGATAAGAGCTGATGGAATTTAAGATACATGCATTGCAAAGGAAGCAAGCCTCATGCTCGGTCCTTCGAGTGTGTAGTGCCCCCTAGTTAACATCTATCTTAATTAGCAGAGATTACAGCAACCAAGCAAATAAATGAAGCAGCGGTGAGTTGAATTTCAATGTTTGCCTTCTGTGTACAGGTTTAAAAAATGCAGAKGATACCTCTGCATATTTTCATTTGCGGATAATGGCAGCATCCTTTTATTGCAATTGCAGTACAATGGAAAAGAAATTAGAATATGCAAGGCAATGTACTGTTGGAATAGTGAAATAAGGCATGAAATGCAGTTTGGAAGTTTCACCTGCAAACGAAGGGAGAATTTCAATTTCTGGATAATAATAGATATGTAATCTAGCTTGGGCTTTTGGTAGGACATAATCCTCTATTCCTTTACTTTTATTTACAATATTGTGTTTACAGTTATTACTTTATCTTATTTATGGTGGGACCTGGGAATCGGATGTGATAGCTCTGAAATCTTTCCAGATTGTACTTCTCTTTTCATTGCTGCCAATTCCTCTTAAATTCAAAGCTTCTCCTACTTTTCTCAATAGCCTCTTTCAATGGAAGATTAAATACACTCTATCAAATCTCTGAGGTTCATGAAGGAGTGAACAATGTGAAAAACAGATTCATAGCAGAAAGAAAAAGAATCAGGTCTTGAATACATATCAAATTGAGGCTCTCTGTCCTGTTACTGTGTGGGAAGCAATCACAATTGTTTTTGCTGATATAGTTTAAATACCTGGATTAGATAGTGCATAAAAATGTCATATCTCTTTGAATAAATTTTGTTTATTTACTGACCAAATACTCAAACAAACCCTCAGCACCATGCTCATCATATTTCTGTCTCCTTTTACCTTGGATTAAAGAACCTCTCCAGCTCCCTAGACTGACGACACAGTAGACTGTACTTTAAAGTTAACTTCATTGAATGTCAGTTTTTTTTTTCAGGGGGAGAAGAGTCCAAACTAATTTTATGCACAATGGTTACTTAAACTTAAAAAGTAAACAAAAAGTAAACATCACAAGTTAATTACCAGATTTTCTTCACTGGTATATTTATTTAGCACCAAAAAGAGGTAGATGCGGAAATATTTTAATATTATTTTGCAGGCATTTTTAGCTTTTTTTTTTTTTTCTGAAGTATTTACTAGAAATTGTTTAATATTCCTTATCTGTGATGTTTTTCTGAATTAACATACAGACATACTGAATGGAGACCATTCAGGGTTTTCTCGGCATTGCAGTACACTAATCTTTATCAAAACAAAGCATCATGCTGAAGATTAGATTAATGTTATTCAGCGTATGGATTGGCCTTTCATTGGCCTTTTGATTGATTGGCCTATCCTGTAAAAAGAACCATATTAAAATATTTCAAGTCTATTTTGAATTTTGAGGAAGGTCAATAAAAGTCATTGCTTCCATTATGTTTTTTATTCTGAGCTTTCTTTTGCCTTGAATAGCATGTGGATCTTACATGCGTTTTCCAGGATGTAATGCTTAAACACAAGAACAGTAGGAAACTAGATAGGTAGCTATAACTTTATTTTGTTGATTAGAGTCACAGAACTATTTTCATAATCCTATGATAGCTGTTGTCCATTGCATTCATTTAGATTTTTCTGAGTAACAAAAGAAAAATATCTAGTAACTTCAAAATGTTCCACTTGTAGAGGCCATGCCCAGACATCGTGTGGGTTCCAATTGTAATGGTGACTCACTGCATCCCCTCATCTCATGCTTTCATTCATATTCAGTGATGCTTTGGACCAGATATAAAGTCAACGACATTGTTGATATATTTTTATTGATGTTGTAATAACTCCAACACATTGTATTGATCTGTGGGTCCTTTGAGCACAACATACTGTCATCACTACTTCATATACATTACTGCAGGTCTCCCTTCAACAACCTAGCAAGAATTCTGTTCATTAATGTCATCCGGCTTACAGGATGGTGATTTTATACAGACTACTGTCTGTGCTATCTATAATAATTTTGATGTTTGGATACCTGTCAACATTCATATAAACATACAAATATRATAATTCTGGTATGTCTTTTTCTGGCTCTTGTTTTATTATTTGATTATTTTTGATCTAGAACAACAGTTCTATTATAAGGTTTTAGACTTTTTTTTTTGTCCAGTGTTTGGAAGGCATATCTAAACAAGAAAGAAACTAGACAGTGTGTTTAAGATGATTGACTAGTTTACATAGTTACAATATAACTACTAATATTTGGGTCTATTTTTGGCAATAGATAAAAAAAACCTTGAAAATGTTACAGGGGAGTGCTGAATCTCTTTTATTTTGATCTGTCTTCCTATTTTTGCACCTTATCAGTCAGTCTATTTCCCTTATTATTTTGGCAACAAGATTACAATATCCTCAATATAAGACCTTCAAAAGTCATTAACCTGCATCATCTTCCTCCTGATTTCTACTGTGTGAGTGCAGTTTTAGGAACCCGCAATAGTCTTTGCTATTCCCTATATAAACCATATAATTCTTCTGTCTTCTTCTGGATGAAGAGAAACCCTAACATCTCAGCACCAGCAGCTTCACATAGCTGGGGATGCAGCCTGTTAATGAACAGGGAAAGACAACATGAGAAACTGCTTATTCAGAGGGTTTGATAATCCTTTTGTAATAGTGTCATAATTTCATCAGTACTAGGATCATGAAAAATGAAAATGGGATCACTGATAAACAGTCACAACTTTTCTTGTCACTCAATGCCCTAAATATTAGAAGACTTTTTATTCCTTTGATTTATTTTTTTTCCCTAGACCTCAAAGCCATTTCCAGAGCTGACTGCTCTTTGCTGCTTAGCATATCCCAAAAGCTAAATCATTTAGATTATCTTCATATCTGAGTGTCCTATTAGGCAATTTCTTAACCCAAATTCAAATCTCTTTTCAAGATTTACTTCTGCTATGCTGCCTGCAGTCATTTTAGTTAATCTGTATGTTAACTGAAAAGAAATAAAAATGTTTGTTTCATCCTGTTTGCCATAATTTCTGGATACTTGTCTGCCYGTTCATAGTCTATTAATTTTTTTGGAAGAGAGATAGATAGTTCCTGTGAAATATGGCAAACTACTATAAACCCTAGTGTATGGCCATGCTAATCTAAGCAGCATGTACTTTGCTTCATCTGCTGGAATAAAGACAGATGTATTATGGACTGCAAAAGAACCAAGTGCAGATATGCTCTTATGATGATCATAATTTCAATATCTGTACAGTAAAACCCAGATATACTTATTTTGCAAATCAGTGTTCTTTAATAATGATTTCTAAAGAAACAAATGCAGTAAACATTTCAATGATTTTTTTTCCATTGAGTTAATGCATTTCCTGTAGAATTCCCATGGGTAATAGACTATTCTGTACATCTGACAAAGTAAGATGGTTTCCAGAATTTTGAATTTAAAGTAAAATTGGAAGCAAATTTATTGGAGCAAAATTGGAAGTGATTCCCTAACACTAGTAATTATCTTTATGCCAAAAATGGCTATTAAAAATCAAAGTTACTAACTAAAACAGAATAAAATACAGAGGTTTGTGGACTTAGGTAATTGAAGTTCATTCTAATGAGCTCTGTTGCTGGTTTCTCCTGTCAATAAAGTGCTAGAACTTTTTAACTTGCTTTACAAATAAATCTAGTTTAGCTGGGTTGATTTTCTAGTTTAATTTGATTAATATGAATAATTTAATGAATAAGTTTTGAAACTGCAGTGTAATTACATGTAGTATTTTGTACCAATGAAACCAGTTGTTTGCTTTATTAGCATTAGACTTTCTTTATTTTGATGATATGTCTAATGTAGATATAAAAAAAAGAGGTGCTTTCCAGCTTTTGGTTATGGGTCATCAGATAGCTCAGTGATATTCTCTGTTCTCAGGGGCTAAATTCACTCCTATTTTAAAAGGATATCAATTTATGGAAGATAATGATGAAGTGATTCCTAGAATGGCCATTCTGTTTTCAGTGACTGTAAAAGCAATAATTATTTGGCATCAGGAGCTATCAAAGACCATTGTACCTGCACTTCTTGCTTTCTTAAGAAGTAATGTATAATAATTTTTAGTGTTGAAGATAGCCTATCAGGCCAACTGAACTCTGAACACTTAAAAGTCCTTTCAATGATATTTTTGTATAAAATACTAATGGACTTGATTGTTCTTTATTGTTACAGTGGTACAAAATATCTTGTGGGACAATTGGACTTTCTCCTGGTGAAGGGAAGGATAGTTTTGCTGGTTAAGCTATCTTTTCCTATCTATAGCATGTGGAGGCTCAATACACYACAATATCACGGTATGTGCTGAGAAAGGTGGAGAGTGCAGCTTGTGATCTAGTCCAGCCATGATGATATAGAACAATTACAGGTTGTTCTGAATGATAGCAGGGATGGTAAAAGTCCCAGCCTGACTCAGAAGAGAAGAAATACAGTTTAGATACACCTACACTCTCAGTTCGTTTCAATTTCCTGCGAAACCATGGTTACTTAGGTTCTATTTGTAACTAACCTCTGAGGAGTTRTTGTACGTATATATGAAGGCCAGAAAGTGGTTCTAGAACTTTCACCCCTTAGTTTGACTCTTTTTTTTYCCAACTAATGCTTTTCTTTCTTAGTTTATCCTAAGCTAAACTAAGATAATTTTTTATTTATTTCTGTTAATTCCATGTTTGGATTAACCAG